CCGTTTGTCGGTAACGCATGAAAATGCAAAAGTATGGTATGCGCATATGTCTCGCGAGCTCATTCAATTGCACATTGAGTTGCGCCAGACGGCATTTTTATCGTCTCTTCGGCGTTTTTTTTATAGCTACGCTCTGCCCGCGTTTGTATAGTCCGCGTCCGTATTTGTACGGAGCGAGATACAGTCGCGATCCTATTCCATCGTGCGATCGTGACTTGTAGCTCTCCGAGCTGACGTCACTTTGCTGTCGTTTACCACTTTCGTCACGCTGACCGCTTCGCCGATCAAGAATAGAAGCGCGCTCAACATTGGCAGAAACGGTAATGCACCGCCTCGTTTCGCCATCGGAAGTATCTGCTTTTTTGTCGCTTTTTTCCTCGTCATCTTCTTTTTCGGTTTCATATCCATGCCGATCTTGGTTTTGACTTTCATCGCTGCCCAGACGGCAACAGCAGCGGCTCTCTCGCTCAGAGCCGAATCTCTCGCGACGACGCGTCTTAGTGTTTTGTCGACGAGTATGTTACCTTGTCCGCCGCGTGTCTATCGATGAGATCATTGCTCCGAGAATACACAATGTTATGTTCCCGGCACGCCGCGTCTAGCGGATTTATGTCCGCGTTACCTCTGGCTAATCGGTTCGAAAGCCAAGTGCCCGGGCTGTAAAACTGGTAGCCCGGTGTAACTCGAAAAAAAGCGCATTTATCGTTCGATTCAGCAGATCGCCGCGTGACGCTGACATTCGCTACAGTTCTTTATCTTCGATGCGGGACCGTCGATGTGTGTCTGCTGCCACGGCTGATTGTAGTGCTCATTACAGCGACGATAGATGCGAACCTCTGAATTTGCCTTTACGTGTTGCGGAAGCTTGTCCCAGACATGTTCGATGTAGTCGTCCTACACGCGTAAGAGTACGATCTTCGGTATATACCATATTGCAACTGCTCGGCGCTTGAATATTGGAAGGATGCCACAGCGCGAGATATATTTTGCTACTGCGCGATTCGCGGGTTCGCGCGCCTTTAAATAGTCATTCGAGAGCGTGTAGCCTTTAGTGCGAGTATGAAGAAATTCGTGCGGCAGCCGTTGACGGTACGTGTTATAAATTGTGACCCGAAATCGCGAATGAGACAACGCAAAGAAGTGCAAGCACGGCGAAATGCTGCCGAGTACTATACGCGCGATCATTTGCGGCCCGTCGAATTGCAGTAAAATCAACGTTCTCATAAGCTTGTTCGAGAGTCCGAACGGCGTACGTTTCGAGAACATGTACATCTACTCAATATCGTTGCAACAGCTAAAGTATCGATATCTCAAAAATTTATTTACATCTATGGACGAAATCGGCCACTTTTACAATATGTTCTCCAACAACAGCGACGTCATTCCATCGAACAAGGCGCGCTCAAATTCTATTTTTATCTTTGATGACGTGGCATGCGACAAGTAGGATGCGGTGAGAGTATACTTCTCGATGGGCCGCCATGCGAACGTTGACTGCTTCTACCTCTGTCAGACGTACGCAAAGATACCTAAACATCTAATACGCAACAACGCGAACTTACTGATCCTATTCAAACAGGACGGTACGCAACTTGAAAACGATCACGTGAATACCGACATGTCGTACGACGAATTTTGTTTGTTGTGTCGCGACTGTTGACAAAAAAAAATGGATTTTTAATGATAGACAAGGACAGTGCGCTTAAAGACGAGAGATACCAAAAAGGATTTAACGAATTTGCGATATCGTAACGTGAGTCGTTGTCGATACTTCGCCAAAGATGAACATGGCTGATGTGCGCAAGCGTGAAAAAATCGCGAGAGAGGTCCAGAAGACGAGCAATTCGATCCGCAAGAATCATCGCGCTCTAAAAACCGGTAGAATCGAGGAGAACTGTCTAGCATTAGACAGACATTTTAAGTCTATTATCAAACGCTGACAGATCATTGATAGCCCCGATGTGTGTGCGATGAAGAGACAGCTTTTGTTCGATGCTTCGCACCGAGCGGACAACAACGCTCATGACAACGAGATGTTGTCGATTATCGAGGAACTTCGCAAAGCCGGTCTTATTATAAATTAAATCGCGTATCGACGAAATGAGTCAGTCGAGTGATGCCAGCGAGAAAAAATACTTTTGCCCTGTGTATTACGCGTCGAATCATCAAAAAGAGATCCAGCAAAAAGAGAAAAATTAACTCTAAGAGATGTCGACTCGTCGAGGAATTGCACGCTCCGGCGAAAAGAAATTTTCCGCGAAGACGCATCATAGTTCGAGAATACGATGATCTGTGACAGGCTGGTATCCTCGAAATGTGCCCGTATTTGACCTTCAACAGAGGCCAGCACTACATACTCACCGTCATCGATGTGTTGAGCAAGTACGCGTGGGCCGTATCGCTCAAGAGCAAGGATGGAAGCGAGACGGCTAATGCTATTGCTAAGATAATTCGAGCGAGTTGAAGATCGAAAAATTTACAAACGGATATGGCGAAGGAGTTTTACAACGCCGATGTGTAGAAAATCTTGAAAAAACACGACGTTAATTACTATTCTACGTATTCGATGTTGAAAGCATCGGTGGTCGAGCGGTTCAATCGCACGCTCAAAAGCGAGATGTGGAAGATGTTTACATCCAACGGCAAATACAAGTGGATCGACGAGTTGCCGCGTCTCGTATCAGATTACAACGTCCGCAAGCATCGCATTATCGACATGCGATCCGCCAATGTAACTTTCGCGATCGCTGAAAGAGTCTTGGACGGTGTACAGCGCGATAAAAATCGCTGGTCCAGCAAAATTTAAAGTGGGCGATTCGGTACGCGTGAGCAAGTATAAGACGGTTTTTGAGAAGGATTTGCACGCCAAATTGGACCATCGAGGTGTTTACGATCGGTAAAGTGCAGCGTATCAATCCCGTAACCTATCTACTCGAGGACTATCGCGGAAAATCCGTCGCTGGAGCGTTTTACGAGCACGAGTTGCATCGCGCTACTCACCCGGATTTGTATCTCGTGAAGAAAGTACCGCGCAGAAAGAGAGACAAGGTGTACTTCAAATAGTTGGGATTCAATGGATCGCACAATTCATGGATACACAAAAACAATGTCATTTGATAAAATTTTGATTCGTGTATTTTTTTTCTACATATAAAAATATATAGCAATATAAGTATATAAACGTATGTTTTTATTATTCCCCATTCATCTTTGTTTTGAAGTATACAAAACATATAATTATTTGTAACAACTTATATATGGAGCAGAATACATAGGCAGTAATACATAATAGTAATACTTATATAAATGTAAAAAATATAAAGTGTAAATCAAAATAATAGTAATACGTATAAATGATAAAAACATGGGATACATAAAGTGTAAATTAAAATACTAGTAGTATATAATATGTATATAAATGTTAAAAACATATGATATGTATTACTATATGAAAGTACAATGATTGTAATACGTAATAAATGCTATTACATAAACGTAATACTTGTATAAATGTAAAAAAAAGTGTAAATTATAATAGTAATACGTAATACATATAATACACATATTACAAAGGTATCCGCTAATGCCCCCACGGTAACGTCTCCGTCCGATATGACGTATCGTTTGTCATCGTTTGAACTCAGAGCGATTTTCGATTCGGATATCGTGTACACCTCGTGTAATTTAGATCATACACGACTGACGGCGAGTCATTTTGATCTCTTCGTTCAAACACCACGTGTAATTATCGAACGTTATCGTTCGCGCTATTACGTTATTTTTTACACCTTTCACCTTTTTAGTGTCCTTCTTGCCGTCCATCTTTACCGTGTACATCTTTGCTCTGAGTCCAACGAATTCGGCCATTATCGCACTATTGTTCTCTTCTTCATCAGACTGGGTACTTTTTTGTTCGTGAGAGGCATACTGTACACGTTGTCCGCCGGATAATCGCTCGTATCGAATCTATCGCATTTCATAATCTCGTAAACATCGTCGCATTCTATATGATAAATGAGATTGTCCGTGTCGGTGGTCATGATCTTACATGTGTCGCGATACATCGGTGACGTGTACTCGTGGTAAAATTTGTACAAGCAGATTTTCGATATATCGAGTATTCACATATCTTCGTAAATCGGTTTGTTGAACTTCACCTCGAATTTGCGCATTTCGACGGCGATCAAATTTTCTGCAAAGACGCTGCGGTTGTGGAAATTCGGTTTCGAATTTGCTTCCGCGCCGTATCGCCGTATCCCATTTTGTTATTAATTTTACATCGACGTGTTGCGCACATTCTCCATAGTTTTGCCGAATACCGCGTTGTTTTATTTTATACATTAGTTTATACAAATTTTTTTCGAAATCGTTTTTCGCGCGTGTTATAAATTGTGTACTGAGTTCAATATAATGACGGAGCCATGGAGATTGAGCGAATTGTAGCACCAGGTGGATCTTTATTACGCGAAGACTGTGACGAGTACATTGTTGTAGGTTGCGGTAGTGGATGACGTAACGCTGCTTATCGTACAACATCGCTAGAAGTTTATTTTCGCACTTGCCGAGCGGCTTATCGCGCGTTGGGCAGAAAAGTAGGTCAGTGTGTCGGTCGTGTAGATGCTGTGAATACTCGAGATTAATCTCGAGAATATAACCGGTGGGTGAATCCGGAGCGATCTCTCTCACGTCAAAGTTCGCAGCGTCTTCGACCCATCGAAATTCGGCGTATGTAAAAATATGTAAAGGTTGACACATTGCCCATCCGTATAGATTATTCACGTCGTATATAAGGTACGACGACGGTTTCGATGGATCGAACGAACACATGTACTTGTTATTAGCTTGCGCGTATCTGCCGGAGCATTGACTGAGGCCGTCGCGTATACCGCGCTCGAACATGACCATATCAATGTCGATGAGCAACTCAAATCTTACACTTGTATGTTTCAGCATGGCGTCCCATGTAAAACCTAGCAGTGTATACGAGGGGGGACCCAAAAAAAACGGGAATTTCGTCATAACTTCTTTATTTCTCAATATTTTAACACCAAATTTTAATCACCTTCAAAGTATTCGCCATTGACCACAACGCACTTCTCCAAACGATTCTTCCATTGTTCAAAACAGTTTTTAAATTCACTCATCGGGATGTCCTTTAAGCCTTCCAGCGATTTTTGTTTCACCTCCTCCACAGTGGCAAAACGCTTTCCTTTCATATTCCTTTTGAATTTGGGGAACAAAAAGAAGTCACAG